ACCACCCGGACCCCCCACGCAAACTGGCGCCGGGATAAGATGACGAGTCATATCATCGTCGGGCCGCAATTTCAGGCCAAAACAGCGTCGGGCAGGGGCACGTCAAAGACGGTGGCGATGTCGCCGTGGGCGGTGATGCGCCAGCGGTCCCAGAAGCGGCGGCGGATCTTGAGGGGCGGGTGGTAGAGGGTGCTGCTGCGGGCGAGGGACGGGGCGGGGGAAAGGGTGGGCAGGAGGGCGGCGGTTAGGCTGATGCTGCCTGTGTTTGGGTTGATGCCTACGGTGGGGTTGGGGCTGGGGGTGAGGGAGCGGCGTTCGGTGAGGGCGATGAGCAGGAGGATGGGGAGGTTGATGAGGCGGACGGAGAGGACGTGGATTTTGTGGAACCAGCGGGGGGAGACGCAGAATTTGAGGGGGACGAGAAGCAGGATGGCGAGGATGTTGAAGGGGGGCGGGTAGGCGAAGATGGCGTCTCCTTTGACGCCCTCGAGGGTCATGACGGCGCGGCGGAACTGGATCTCGGCGGGCGCGTTATTGACGATGTGCCCGAAGGTGGTGGAGAGCATGGAGACTAGGATGGTGAGGAAGAGCGTGTTGCCGAGGAAGGCAAAGGTCACCATGAGGGCAGGGCCTAGGATTTGGTGGAAGTCGGCCTGGGCGTGTTAATTGATGGGTTCGAGAGTGTGTATCGTTTTAGACTTACCGAACGTTGAATACCCGACCCGTCTAGCCCAAACCAGATGTAAATCATCCATTTGCTGATGGTCCTGTTGTATTTTAGCAAACGAGCACCACACTAGATTGGAGAAATACCTACGCAGCGCCGAAATGGCCATTCCCCAGCCAAACTAGCGAGAGTAGAAAGCCGAGAAAGCACCAGATGGCCAGAGCCGACAGCAGCGCAAAATCGGACATCATAGACCTAAGCGATAGGAACACCAAGTTGTCCGAGAGCAGATTAAATGCCAGGCGGGGGATCAGCACTGGGGCGCCCATGGCCAGCACGTCGAGAGCCTGCTGCCCGGCTTCCGGCTTCCCAGCCCCCCAGCCGTAAATGCGGATGACCAGGTAGATCCAGTAGATAACGGCAAAGGTGACGTCGAGGAAGGACCATAAGTTTTGAGCGTACACATCCCTACATTTGTGTGTTAGCCAGCGTGATCGTCACTCAGCAAGTCGAGCAGAAAACCTACCATCCATGGCCCAGGAGCGTGGCAAACTGGTCCAGCACCCACCCCAGAGCGTAGAACGTAAAACACATCTCGAGGGTGGTGATGCGCGTGCCGTCCCTCTCGCTCATGAAGGCGAGGTACAGGGCCAGCAGCACCACAAAGTGCATCATCTCGAGGAGATTCCGCGTCCGGGGCACCACCAGGCGGTAGTGGTTGAGCAGCGGCGCCTCTCGGGGGTTGTACAGCGAGATGGGCCGCTGCTTGTACCTGTCAGGGATGATGTCCATGTAGGTCGAGGGGGTGTAAATCACCCTCCCTTCATAGATGGCATCGACACTGTCACATCCCTCCGCATTAGTACCATCCCTTGCCTCAATTCCACGGCCAGCGGGAGAGAAAAACAATCTCACATCTTCTGACAACTGGTACTCGCCAGGAACACGCGACTCTCACTCAGAATAGCCACCTCCAGGGCAGGCAGCGTCCTATGACGGGCACTCGACGCGCCGGCCTCGGCACGGACGGACTCGGGTGCATTCTGGAACGGCTCAAACCCGGCAATCAGAATATGCGCCAGCACCAGCAAGTTGCGTGGCCCCTCATTGTCCTCGTTGAAGCGGCGCAGGATGCGGGTGGCGATGAGCTCGCACAGCATGGCGCGGGTGAAGTTGACGTTCTGGCGGTTGCTGAGGTGGGCCTGCTCGCTGAGGAACTGGGCGCGGTTGACCAGCAGGGCGTAGACGATGGAGATGTCGTCCTGCTCGTACAGCTTGTCGACCAGCGGGCGGATCACCGACACGTTGAGCCGCACGTCGCGCAGCTGGTCCAACGAGAGGTAGTCCTCCACCACCGAGATGATGTCGCGCCGGATCCGGTGAATCGTCGTGTACACCGGGAGGCTGCGCACGTGCACCGAGTTGCCCGGAGTGCCGCCATCGTTGGCGTTGTTGCTGTTGTTGTTGCCGCCGGGGGTGGTGCCGTAGCTCTGGCAGGAGAAGACGTTGGCGTCGAGGTTGTGCGAGAAGGCGGCGCGCTGTGGGAGAAGGGGACGCCGTTCGGAGGGTTCTTGGATGCGGATGGCCTGGTGGCGGAAGCCGCTGGAGGTTGTCGGCGTGTTTGATGTTACACCACCGCGGCTGGAGCCCGTAACTGGTGCGGGTGTGGTTGCTGGTCCAGAAGTGGGAAGATTGGTGTTGTTATTATTACTGCTGGGGACGGAAACAGGCCCTTGGTTGGCCGGTCCGTCACCCATGTCCTTTCCTCCGTTGTTGGCTAGAAGGGTGTTTTTGTTATTCGGTAGCGTCTCCTATTGTATGTGTAAAAATGGTGGACGCGCGCGATGCGATGCGATACGATGCGAGTCCTGTCTTCTGTGCTTGTATCGCTCAATTGAGGGATTGATGTCCTGTCGTGATACTGCAATTTTAAATTGTTGATTGGAATGTCAACCTACTCCTTTACAAATAAGATCCCTCCTTTACTCCTTGGGATGGTCAATGAGCCTCATGATATCATATCGTGTTTCGGGTTTAAAGTAAACTGGGATAAGGCTGGCTGTCATTGATGATGGAGATCCCTGCGACACATGGACGAGATAACAACTTGAGACGGGACGGAATGGAAAAAGAGCTCGCTGTGCCCCACTCCTCCTGGCCTCAAAGAGCAACGCCTTCCTTGATTTCAAGATACAACGTTGGAGTTTAAAAGTTGGCAATTATACCAGAAAACTACAGTAATCACCTCCTTTGCCTCAGCATCCCATGGCCAAAAAATACCCGTCCTACTTCGTACAAGCGTAGATGTCGACCAAGCCTCGACTTGAGCAACGAAACTATCCAGAAGCCGAAGGGAACTGTGCTTATTCCCGTCAACACGCGCAAAGACAACCCTATCTTGATTCCAATGGGCTCGATACGGTTATCACAGACAAAGTGGGAGACGGAGGCCTCCATTTGATATCACAACCCCAATTTTGGACGCCACATGTGGTCGGTGATTGTGCATGAGGAGGGGTAGGTCGAGAACGGGTTGCTTGGCAAATATTCATCTTCATCCCCTCTGAACTTGCAGCAAAGCTTCTCCGTGCAGCAGCAGCCTGGAGCCCCGCATACAATTCATGTAACCTTCCCCGTACCTCTACCCTCCTCACATCATGTAATTCGATACCCTGGGCTGGCTGCTGACCAGGACCATGACCATGGCAATGCCGAACAAAGTAGACCAACTGACCAAATCGACCACCGGGAAGCTGGAACGCAGCCAAGTCAAAGCGAGACTAAAGGGTTATATTGGCACAGAGGTGTGTATGGACACTGGTACAAAGGGAATCTCGCATCTCAGCTCTATCCGAGTAACCGTCTATTGAGCCTTGGAAGAAACGATCCCTGCATCGCGTTAGCCATAATGCCCCTCCGCACATAGCTCAGGAAACCTACTCTCAACATCCGCCACGCTCTGCTGCAGAATCTGCTGCAGCACCTTGGGGTTCTCCAACTCCTTCTGCACCTTGGCAATGATGCTCTGGGCGAGCTCCTTCTGCTGGCGCTGCTTGACCTGGCTCTCGTAGCGCACCCACGAGTCCAGCACGTTCTTGGCCTCGGCAGCCAGCGCCGTGCGCTGCTCGAGCTCGTAGGCCTCGGCCTCCAACTTGGCGGTTTCCTAGCGAGACTGTCAGCGGCAAGGGTCGGAAAACCGGATCCCAGCAAAAAGGCGGCCCACCTTGGACACCTGGAACAGGGTCTTGGTCACGTCAATGACGCCCGACATCTGCTTGACGTCCTCGATGCGCGTCTTGACGGCCTGGGTGTGGTCGGCACGGGCGGCGTTGAGGATGTTCTTGATCTTCTCGTTCTGTCCCTCGGCCCACTCGCGGTACATGGGGCCACCGAACTTGATGAGGGCAGTCCAGACGCTGAGCAGGCAGACAGCGACGACGGTCTCCTCGTTCATGACGTAGTACTCGTTGCTGAGGGCGTAGATGGAGGCACCGGCGGCCGACGACAGGATGGCCGTCTTGGAGAGCAGGCTGTTGCCGGGCATGGCGTCGAGGATCGACTGGGCCTTGGTCTTGGGGTCGGTCGTGGGCACATTCGAGCTGTGGCGGGCCGTGACGAGGGAGGAGACGGCAGGGAGGGCGCGCGGAGCCACGGTCGGTCGCAGGCGGGCGGCCCCTTCATAGCAAAGCAGTCAGCTTTCCGTCGGCGCAACTCAATTGGGCGCACACAATCCGGTCATGTACTCACCGACAGCACTTCTCGCCAAGCGGGACGCCATTGTGAAAAGGGTGGGATATCGATTGCGGGACGGCTTGACGTCGTTGTCGGAGCTTGCTGCTGCTGCCAAGTGCGAATTGAGGTTTTAACGGAATGCCTTGACCCGGCTCTTTGCCGTGGATATGTCACGTGGCACGGCAGCTGACCTGGATAACCAGCTTCTCAAAGAGAACTCCATGCTTGGCATCTATCAATTTTCTGCCGAATTGGATCTGTCCCCACTTAATTTTTGCTGGACCCAAGTTGCAAGACGAAGCCCAGAAACCGAAAACTGAAGATCGAAGGACCACCCAGCACAATCGCGAGCGGCAATACCTTTCAAATTAATCCAACATGCCGGCTGCTGTGGGGGATGCCGCCGCCAAAACTGCGGGCAAGCGGAAGCGCCAGGAGAATGGTGATTTGACCAAGAAGAGGAGGAAATCTGCGGGCGCCGACGACAGCGACAACCTTCAGGCCACCATCGAGAGGCTCGAAACCGAAATCCAAGAGTCAAAGAAGCACTACAACAACATCGCGACCCTTATTGAACTTGCACAAAAAGCCGACCAAGACTCAAAAGCTTCCTTGGCCGCCTCGGAGGCGCTTTGTCGCATCTTCATACGGCTTTTGGCCGCGGGCAGCTTGGTTAAGAGAAAGGATGTGTCAGAAAAGGATGCCACCGTAACAGGCTGGCTCCGGGACCGCTTGGCCGACTACAGGGGGGCTCTCCTAGCCATGTTCATGAGCAAGAAACTGGCGTCGAACGCCCTGATGCTGGCCATGGCCCTTCTGAAAGCGGAAGCCCAACACCTCGGCGACCGGGCAGAAGCAGTGTTCCCCCGGTATTTCTTCTCGGATATCGTCGCTAGTTTCCTTGAATCTCCTGTTGATCAGCTACTGGAAGAATTCTCGGAGAAGTTCGTCGATGAGTACCACGACATCCGTTTCTACACCTTCGAGGCCATCAAGTAGGTCATCTTGCACTTATCACCCGGCCTCAACAATGTCCTAACAATGAATAGAACCTACCTGACAGAGCGAGAGAACTCCGTGGACGAAGACATTCGGAACACGGTGTTCGAGATGCTAATCAGCATGGAGGACGTACCCGAGTCGAACGAAGACCTGGAGGAGTTCTACATTGAGCCGCCCCAGAAGAAGAAGCACCCGTTGCGCTCTTTGTCGCAGCACAAGAAACAGGCCCAGGAAGCATGGTTGGCGCTCATGCATCTTGGCCTGAGCAAGGAGCAAAGGAAGAAGGTCCTGGAGGTCATGGCCACGTCCATCGCCCCCTGGTTCACCCAGCCCGAGCTCCTCATGGATTTCCTGACCGACTGCTACAACTCGGGTGGCTCCATCTCACTTCTCGCCCTATCAGGAGTATTCTATCTGATACAGGAGCGCAATCTTGATTATCCAGAGTTCTTCACCAAGCTCTACTCATTACTCGACGCCGATATCCTTCACTCCAAGCACCGCTCGCGCTTTTTGCGTTTGCTTGACACCTTCCTTGGGTCGTCCCATTTGCCCGCAGTGATGGTGGCTAGCTTCATCAAACGGTTGGCCCGTCTGGCACTTAATGCGCCGCCGAGTGCCATCGTGGTCATCGTGCCATGGTTCTATAACCTCTTCAAGAAGCACCCTCTCACCACCTTTATGATGCACCGTGTGCCTCGCAGCAAGGAAGAGAAGGATCTGCTCGAGACTGAAGGCCTGGACGACCCTTTCCTGCCGGATGAGAGAGACCCGATGGAAACGCATGCCATCGACAGTTGTCTGTGGGAGATCGTGCAGCTGCAGTCTCACTACCACCCCAACGTCGCCACGATTGCCAAAATCATATCTGAACAGTTTACCAAGCAGGCGTATAGCCTTGAGGACTTCTTGGACCACTCCTATGGCAGTGTAAGTGTACCGCAGTTGGGAACCGGATGAAGCAAGCTAACAGACGGCAACGTAGCTCCTCGAGGCTGAAATAAGCAAGGAAGTCAAGAAGCCACCAGTCGTCGAGTACATGATTCCCAAGAGAATATTTAACAAAGCTGATGGGGCTTCAGGGGAGACGGACAGCTTGCTCGTCAGCTTGTGGGACTTTGGCTCGTCATAAGGTTCTCCGTCTCCTCTACCTGGTCTCTCCGGATCGGAAGACATAAGGCCTCCTAATCTCCTCCCCAACACCCCGTAACGTCATGCAAACCTCCGAAGATACACCGTCCGGCACGTGCTATCGTCGCACAACCATGTCTCGAAAACCGGTCATGCAGGCGGGCATGCACTGCATGTCCGTTTGAGGGCGAAGTGTTGAGGGAAGTATTCCGGCCCGCTGACACCAACCCGACGGCCCCTTCCGACGGTACACACTGCTTATTGCGGCATTGGAACATGAATGGCGCCGCCCCTAAGTACGGCAAGCTCTGGAGTTACTCATGGCTGCTACAGGTGAGGGGTAGCGTGCCCCTCGGGTGAAGCACCCGGTGACACAGATGAGCTTCCGGACCTCTGCCGGGTGATCACTCACGCCTCACTTCTGATGGGAGGCAGATTCGGTGGGACAGTGGCACGAGGTGCTCTACAACCCCTCTTTTGTGCACCCTGGGGCCGCAGCATGACTCCTGACCGCGACGAGAAACCCCCCGCGCCATTACGCCGGGTGGTTTCACGACAGCGCCCACAGATCTAGGGTTGAGGTTACCCCTATTCTATACCGGTCGGCCTCCGTGACCATCAAAATCATATGTCATTCCACGAGGCTGCTCCCCTTAGTTTAGGCCGCGCAACCAAATAATACATTGTGCTACGGCCTTGCGCCTTGGTGTTCCGTTTCTACTTCACTTTCAAGTTCCTTGTCGTTGACTTCATCCCCAGGCCTCAGCCGGATGCGCCGAGCTTGGCTCGGATGCACCTCGAAGCGCCAGGATCCTGCTTGCATGTGCATGGCGTTGCTTACTCCGCCAATCGAGCAGAGCCTCACAACGTCTGAGTGAGGGTTTGTGTGTTTACCAACAGTCACGATCATAACCAATTGTTGCATGCGTCCTCTTTCTGGAGGGCGGCAAGGAAACCAGCCTGCGCTCGTCCAAGCAAGCCCCATCACCACCATCGCCATCCGACACCCCCCCTTAGGTACAATAGACATGTCTCCGACCAGTACGCGCGGTGGCTCATCAATCGGCATAATCAACACCATCACTCGCAAGAATCACTCCCCCAACCCCAAATCAGCGTTGACTCCAAATCGCTGCGCCATCATCCATCCCGCAAGATCCCCCCGTGGTCCCCGTGATCACCGTGCTGCCCCTTCCTCCACCTATCAATTCTCGCTCATTCTCCAAAACATCCCCGAGACGAGATTCTTTCACAGAGCCTTGGGCCATTCACATCTGCCCTCCCACCCTACCCACCCACACACTCAGCCTCACTCGCTCACGAACCCTCACCCCGCCTCACTTGACCTACGCGTCCCGACAATCATCCCGCTCACTCACAACATCGGAAAGGAAAAGAGAACAGGCCCCCTTTCCGCGCGGGGGAGGGGTGTTCCCTTCCGCCCCAGGTAAGGAGGTACATACATACGTACACACAGCAAGGTACACACAGCCAGATAGGTACATACAGCCATGTACACACACACACACAGTCATGTACATACCTCCACACACAGCCAGGCACAGGTACAGACAAACAGGCAGACAAGACAAGACCCGAGATGAAAGGATCATCGGGCACCAACCCCATCCCATCCCATCCCATCCCATCTCCAATCTCACATCTCCCCTCTCCAACCTGTCGACACCCCAACTAGCGGTCAAGAAAAAAACAATCAAGAATAATAATTAAACCAGGATCCCCGCCTCGCGAGAAAGCGAGGGGTGGCGTTTCACCCAGAGCCGCAAGGCAAGGCAATGACAAGGGCAAGGTAAAATAGGCAAGGTAGACTAACTGAAGAGACCCATGAAACGCTGCACGATTGATTGATCGGTGGGATGGGGGATGGGACCCCGGGAACCTTCCACGCGAGCGGATGGCACAGCGCCACAGCTTTGTAATAAGGCGCAGTCCTGCTGGTTCTAGCTGACAGACTGACCGTTCCTTTTGCAACGGGCGGGCGGTATGGGAGAGGCGCAGGGAGGTTGGTTTACTGCTATTGCTATTCTTCTGTGGCTCGCTTCCCTATCATGGGTGTTTCTCACCACCGTCCAGCCGCCTTGGCCGAGCAAAGTAGAAAAAAATGGGAGAGCCGAGGATGGTACGCTCGCTACATCCGAGTGGAGGTATTGGATAGCAACAGGGCATGGACAGACATACGATGATAGGCAACTGCAATGACCGGCAGTGTCTCACAAAGACACCCCCCGCCCCCACCGCTAGCTCGCCCACAGCCCACGAGGGAGGGAGCGAGGGGAGACAAAAGGGGGAAACCGGAAACCACCGCCCTCATTCACCGACTTCCCATCGGGGTCCAACCTACCTGCCGCCCCCCCCCCCACTCCGACCCCACCCCGTCTCCGTCTAGTGCACGTCCCGTTCGGTCTCCGGTACCCGTATCGGCCTTGGCCCGGCCGGACCGCGGCAGGCTCCTCCCCCGCATCTCAGGAGTGCAGGTTGGTTCAGTTCAGCTCATCAAGCCGAGCCGCGCAGAAATTGGAAAAATTGCGCAGGGCGGTGAGGAATCCGGCTGCACGCGTGCCTGCCCGCCTGTCTGCCTGCTCGCCGACCAACCCGCGTCCGCCCACTTCCGTGCCGCGCCTTTCCGTCCGAAGTCGCCACCGCCCCCCGTACCCAGCCCGCGTCGTCCGGAGCCCCCGTGGTAGGTCGGTCGGGAAGGAGGGGGTCCCGCGCGCTCAGCTTGTCTCACTGGTTACGTCGACGGGGACATCATACCCCACGATCAAGACCGACGATCTGACTCATCCGTTCCAGCCGCTTGCCCACTCACGTCCCCGAAACCCCCCGGAAGAGGTCGACAGTCCGATCCCGCCGGTACAGATTCGGTCATAGTGTCGCCTAGTGCGGTTTGTCGATCCGGTCTGGGTAGGGTGTGCAAACCATAATCCAAACCCACCCCGGCCGAGGCAAGGACAAGGACAGGCAAGGGATCGGGAAAGGAAGGGAAAAGAGGAAAAAAGTCAAAAAAGTCAGAAGCAAGATCCACATGGGCTCAAACCGATCCTCGGGATTGCTTGGCCTCAGGGGTGTAAAACGCCGCCGGGCGCCCGGGTCGGTGCTGCGGTTCCGAAACTTCTTCACCGCTACTCCCCGATCCACGGCGCGCGATATCAAAGCAACATGGGTTGGGGTTTCGAGATTTCCGAATTGCCAAAAAGGTGGTTACCTGGACCAAAACGGAGAGGATATTGATCGAAACGGGCGGTGACTGGACGAAAAATGGGGAGAAATCTAAGTATATCGCATCGTATCGCCACAGCCCGGATAATGTTGTTGTTGGTGTCCCGCAGGCGACTGCGCCTTCTCCAGACCAACGACACCATCACTGGCCAGGCGTCCTGCTCACTCCAAACAAACAAACGACGGACAATCGCATGACGGTCAGCCGGATCTGGATCATGGAAGTCAGAAAGGCAAGACCGCTGCTTTCACCGCGTCAGCGGCGACGGGCTCTGCAAGACGCCCCTCAGGCTCCGCTCCACTGCGCTGCACTGCACTGCATGTTGCACGTTGAATAGCTGCAGCTTGCCGCCAAGCAGGGCGGATATGGTCTCGCGCGCGGCCCCGTAACCTCGTTCGAGCTGCATGTTTTTCCTGCAGGCTGCAGGAATCGCGAGACCAACGACCCATACTTCCGGATCGAGGAGCCAAACCCAGTCTCGTGAGCCTGTTCTGGCCCAGCCGAGCAAAAATCGTCGGGGAGACCGCGTCATGGACTTCTGTTTGCGGTTCACCGCCTGAGATAATTTCCCGATGGCCTGGCTTGGTACGTTCAACTCGCCGTCTCCTTCGTGAGCATCCCGTGCAGCCACGATTTCGCGACGGGGACTGGTGGAACTTGGTAGATAAGGTAACAATGTTCTTCACCGCTACCAGGAGCTCATATGCTTGGTGTTGCGACGTCGGGGTCTAGAGAGAGTGCTTCAACTGGTTGGATGGGCCTGTAGGAAGGAAGTTGGACTCGCCGGAAGAGTCCCCAGCATTATGGTATCCTGTGAAACAATCAATGAGTTCTTAAGAAAGTGGACGTGCTCAAACCCGGATGGAGGAGCACCGGGAGAGCAGTTGCTCCTGAAGACTCCTGAATGCTCTTGAAATCACGACCGTGAGTATGAGTCAGTTGTGTTGCAAAAATGAGCGGACCTCGGGAGGTTTGTGGGACCGCCTGACACGACGTCTCTGCCCCAGAAATAGGTAACAAATAGGAATATTTCCCAGCAGGCCCCCTGACAAAGGCACCAGGTTTGCACTCGCCATCCTGCAGCGAGCATGTGGGCATGCTGAAGGAGTCTCAAGACGGAAGGGTATTGGCAGAACCGTGCCGTTGGGCAGGAAACTAACACTTGGTTCGACCCTAGTTGCGCCCCTCGAGATCGAATCCGACCAGATCCTGGGCCACAAAGTTGGGCCTTGATCGCTGGGGCGTCAAGTCTCCGGTATTGCATGCATGCAGACGATGTCTGACGGGCCGGGAGTGGAAGAGGGACCAGAGGCGGTTTCGAAGCTCGAGACTGGAACCAACAAATATTGCATCCGCAGACAGGACACAGGTCGATCGATGCACATGCAGTCGTTTAAGATTCTCGGCAAAGACAGTTTCCCAGAGCGCCGGAACCGCGGTTTTCACGCGTGGGTGAGTCACTCTGATTCGGGGAGCTCAGGGATATCGTGACGGTTAGCTATGTCATGGCGGATGGGCTGTCTCGGGGCAGTGATTGGCGGGAGCTCGCACTCCCGGGTCTCTAGAACGGGTTTCGCAGGCGGTTTCGCAGTCAGCCTAGTTTGGCACTTTTCTGTGTAGCGCTGCTCGTTCTGGATCAGAGCACGAAAGCAGGTCTCTTTGAGGCAATGAACATCTCCACCGGCAAAATGAGGAACTCATCCGGGACGCCGGCCATGGGAGCGAGTAACGTTTCGGATCACGTATCTTCTTCAGGCCTAGCAGGTGGGATGTCCATGGCGGCTAGGGCGGGAGTCGCTGGCCCGGGGATTTCCCAAGAGTGCCCTGGCCAAGCTGATCGGGAGCGAGGTCGTGCTTTCAGGGTCACATCTCCAGCAAAGTAAGGTGAATTGTCGCCGGCACCATTGGGCGTGAGGCTCGCCGTCCAGAGGAAGTCGTAAACAGCTGACCATCGACAGGCAGGCGAAACCGGGAGTGGGGCTTTGCAGCGCCCCTGGCGACTACAGAAGTGGTAGTGGTGTTTGGGACCGGCTCGCGATCCGGACAGGGCGCGTTCCTTTCGCGTGCCCGGAGAACCAGAAACACACCGACTCTTGTTGTTGGGTATGGACGAAGGGACGCGGGGCTTTGTTTGGGTCGACATGGCGCGGGCCTCGAATATGCGGCCATGCGCACACCGGGTCTGGGCAGGCGCCGCGAGTGGCCAGGCGGCGTGTTTAGCAGCTGCAAGCGCTCCGTTCTCCGTCCAGTGGGCGTGCCGACAAACGAAAGAGAGCTCGAGTTGAGGGACAGAAGTGGAGTTGCTGAACACCCAGCCACCGCATTTTTTGCATTGGTGCTCGGGCGCGAACCGTTTTCTGTTTCCTGTCAGATTTTTGGCTTAAACGGGATGGAAGCGCGGTGGTCGAAAATAGGAAAGCCGCTATGGATTCAAAACAATCCATGAATGGCATAGCATGGATGGGTGGGTGGATGGATGGATGGATGCACGAGACATAGAAAGAGTGAGAGAGAGACAGAGGCTGTGGTTTCAGGCAGGAGCCATAGGAACCTGCAAAAAATGTTTGACGCTGTGTTGCGGCGTGGTTGAGGTGTTGGGACTGGGGGTTCTGGGGAAGGGGAAGGAGGATCGCCTCACTTTGCCCAGTCAGATGACATGGAACTTCTCGAACGTGGGTTGGAAAGCAGCATGCAGTTCTGTGGTGTAGCATTATCACGTGACTTTAATTACCGTTTTCGCACAGCTCCTTTTTCTGCCTGTTTGCCAAAACGTTCCCGGCGGTCTCAGGTCTTCTCGGGTGGGGACGAATTCCCCGTTCCCACTTCACCGTCACATCCACTTCCTCACAACGCAACGCTGAGAATGATTGGAACGCGGATGGAAGCACGGCTTTGCCGCAAGGACCCGCGGGTCTTCCGTTCCGCCCGATAGTCCAATCTCGAAACAGAACCTGGTGGTGAGTCGCTGACGGGATCCCTCGCTGACAAACGGATATTGGAACAGTTCCAAGTTTGCCGTTGATGCCGTTGATGCCGTTGATGCCGTTGATGCCGTTGATGCCGTTGATGCCGTCGTTGCCGTTGCAGCTGCCGTTGAAGCCGTTACTGGTGATGTGGTCGAGCTGGTGTGATCGGGTTGGTCAGTCAGTGGTTCATTGGCATTTTTTGCACGGTTTACGGTGATGACGAGAACCTGTTCGCAGTATGAGAGGTACGGATGGATCGATTGTCTAGCATCGCATCATCACAGCGGGCAGCGCACCAATTAGCCGGGCCAAAAATTAATAATGGCGTTTTTCTGCCCCGCGGACCTCGGTTTTCAGCCCTCAACACCACCACCACGCCATCGAGGGGTCATGCTCCCCCCACAGAATCAGGAGTCGTATTTACTGAAACAAAACGAGCCAAACTCAATTGTGATCCCTTTCAGCGCCTCGGGGTCTCTCAAGTCGGCTCATCACAACAATATCACCCCACTCACCGCAGTTGCTGCGCAATGGGATCCTCGTTGTGTCGGATAGTGGCTGAATCTAGGTTGACATCCATGGCTTCCTTGATGGTTCGCCCGGAAACCGAAACGGGGATCCTCCTCACGGGGGTTGAGTCCGCTGCTGCTCGCTGCTCACGAGGCTCGCACGAACCCTAGCAAGCTCGCCCCTTTGGGTGTGGGAGCAGCTGCGATAGCTGCGAGAGCTGCGAGTCCCGCGGCAGGCGACTGGCTCGGGGCGTGCCTTTGGGTAGCGATGCCCCCCAAGGTCCATTTCTGCCCAACCTGCCGCGGGGCGGTCATTCACAACCACTCCTTCTGTTAGCCCAATCATGAGGGCAGCAACATTCAGCAGCTCTCGTCCTGTGCTCGTCGTTCGTCGCACCCACCCCTGCCCGGTACCCAGCGATCTTGTTCCTCCCCCCCAAACGCGGACTCAAGCCTCTCTGGGCCTTGCCCGCCGCTATTCGGTACTTCGGCTACGCCCCCCCGTCTCTCCATCCCACCTGGGTTGGCACGGTTGGCACGTTTGGTTGGGCCACTCCGCAACGGCAGCTAAACATTCACTGGCCCGGCGGACGATCACTGATTCGATCTCGGATGCTACCGTCTTTGCGCGTCCAAGAACTCTCGCTCTTCGCAAGTCGACCAGCGTGACAGCCCGCGGCAACACCATGGTGGTTCCTATTGGAAATCACTGTGGCCCGATCGCCATCTCGAGTGCCTGGGCCGGCTGTCGTTGGTGCTACCGTTCACGTACCGGGTCAGTCACAGGAGGTCTCTCTTCGAAACGGAGGCCGTGAGCAGGCCGCGCAAGACGTTGTGTTCCGTTGCGGGGACGCTTTCTCATGGCAGTTTGGATCTCAGATCCAATCCCAGCATGCGCCTCACCTTTCGCTGGGGGTCCACTACCGTATCCTCTTCGTTTAGGGACGCCCCAGCTCTGCTTGTTGTTGTGCTTGTCCGACGGCTCTCTGTTTTGCTCTGCTCGGATGCCCAGAAAAAGTACGACTAACTCTGAGACCACCATCCCTCATCCCTGGTCTCTCAGATCGGATGTCCCTTGGTTACACCCCCCCATGCCAAGCGCGAAACTCCACCCCTCCCGCTCCGAAAGAGTCTGGCGATCCACAAGGTTCCGCCCAGACCAGGTCCTCCGCAACATCCACTCCATGTACCACTGGTCGCAGTCCCAAGATCCCCCCTCCTTGCGATTGGGCGACCCTCGGATGCCGCTCCCTGCTTCGCGAGGGTCTTGCAGAGTCGGCCTGACCAAGGTCAGAGTACAAAACATAGAAAGAGGACCATCATCCCGTCTGCCCCCCATCCATCCACAATCAGACAGTCATTGACAGAAGCAGCATTGAGACTGCTTGGCCGAACAAGAGTTCTTCCCTCTTTTCAACACACGAGGTGCTTCACGGTTTATCGTTGAAGCTCACCCAAGCCAACCCCTCTTCTCTCACCTCCGGTCTCACCACCCACCACCACCAGTCCCCCCCACCAATTCCGGGTTCTGGTCTGAATACCCCTCTCTTTCCAGAAGACGACAACTTTGTGCGACTTCCACCACCAGAGTGTAGGTGACATCTCCCTTTGCTCGACTGTTAAAAACCCTGCCCCTGCCTCCCGCTCTCCCCTCCCTCCCGCACCCGCCCTACTTCCCCCACCAAACTCTCAACCCACTTTTTATCCTTCATGTCATCGACGGTTCTACACTCAGTGAGTGCTAGATTTCACCGCCATCAACACATCAGGAAGATCCTACACCCAGGACTCAGATCTGAAGGGTATGCATGCACTCAGCTAGTGTGGCGGTTTTTGCCCCCCCTCCAGCTCCCACAACTCCCGGCTCTCGCATCCCCTGCATCCTTACCCTTACCCCCCCCGGTCATTCCCAAAATAAAAGCCCTCACCGCTTCGTTCACCTCCCAACCACTAACACACATAACAGGATCTGCCCGCACATTTTCCCGCCCCTCTAACGGGAAATCAGCCTTTTTCACCACCCACACACACACACATATAACCATCATGGGTTCATTTCAAATGCCGTCCTATTACAGGACCCCTTTGACCGTCGACACCACACACGCTCAGAAGTTCTTTGAGGAGGAGGACGCGAGCATACTCGACGATAACATCCTTGACCACAGCGGGCTCGACTCGGGCTTGGAGATGTCGCCGCCGATGGTGGAGAGCAGGAGGGATTCATTTGGCGTCACCCCGTCCATCTTCTCACCAAAGACGGAGGACTGGCAGTCGGTCGAGATGCAGTCGGTGCCCTCGAACAACCCCTTCTTCGACCAGCAGAGCAACAACCCCTTCCTGCGGATGGACCAGAACCAGCAAGCGGCTTACCAAAGCCACACTACCTGGCCCATGAGCAGCTCCGGCTCCGCAACTCCCCAGCTCCAGCCCTTTGACGGCCTCCCGGTGGAGTATGACCAGAGCAACCTTGCCATGTTCCACAGGCCCGCCAACATGCAGACTCCCACCCCCTTCGCCGCTCCTGCCAACCCCGTCGCCATGTTCCAGCAGCTCGGGCATGCCGCTCCCCAGTCGATCCCGGCTTCTCCCCAGAAGGATGCTTGGATGGCTCAGGATCTCAAGGCGCAGGCCATGAAGAGGACCCGTCCCGCCAGCCCCCTGATCCGGTCCCACAACGACCTGCGGAGGGGTGATGGCATCCGCAAGAAGAATGCTCGCTTCGACATCCCCGCCGAGCGCAACCTCAGCAACATCGACCACCTGATCTCGCAGTCCACCGACGAGCAGGAGATCAAGGAGCTTAAGCAACAGAAGCGTCTCCTTCGCAACAGGCAGGCAGCGTAAGTCCACACTCTCTATCGCATGATTCAAACCCGGGTGGAACCCGCGCTAACTATGACCAGCCTCGACTCGAGACAGCGCAAGAAGCAGCACACTGAGCGGCTTGAGGATGAGAAGAAGCACTTCACCGAGGTCATCGGGGGTTTGGAAGACACCATCGCCAAGATGGAGAGAGAGATGCAGAAGCTGTCCATGGACAAGCAGAACTACGAGTCGTACATCAACGAACTCGAGCAGAAGCAGGAGGAGATGATCAGCAGGCACACCATCGAGACGGGCGAGCTGCGCAAGAAGATCTCCGTGCTGACCAACGAAGTGCACTCCATGGGCCGTGCCGCCACTACCGCACCGGGTTTCCCCGGCGCTTTTGCCGAGATGGATGGCATCACCATGGACTGCTCCTGGGATAACATGCCAATGTTTGGCGACTTTCCCATGGAGCAGGGCACTCCCGAGGTCAAGCAGGAGATGCAGATTGTGCCAGCAGCCAAGAAGTCCGAGGTGTCCCTGTCGACGTCCGACTCCGAGAAGCCCGCCCAGCAAGGCGGACTCCTCTTCATGCTGTTCCTTGTCGGCGCTTTTGTTCTCTCGAGCCGGTCCTCGACCCCCAGCATCCCGCGCGTTTCCGAGGATGTCCGGGCCGCTTCCGCGACCCTCCTCGAGAACGTGCTCAAGGATGCCGGCGTGTCGCAGGTCGCCTCGGGTCTCCAAGCCCTGGCTCCGCAGCCCTCGGGCACCACCTGGGCCCAGGCGTCGCAGCCGTCCCTGTCCATGGCCGCGCCGATGGTCGACAACGTCGCCCCGTCGGTGCTGGGCGAGATGGCGGATGCCCTGACGCAGCCCACCGAGCAACAGACCAACGAGCAGATCTTCTCCTTGTCGGCTGCGCAATATAATGACCTCACCTCGCAAGATTTCCTCCAGGCTGCCACGCCGGCCGAAAGGTCGACGAGCCAAGGGAGACGCAATCTTGCTGAGGCGCTGGCCACCATGCGCAGCTCGACCAAGCAGTCGTCTGCTGCCGAGGTCTACACTCGGTCGCTGCTCTGGGACCAGATCCCGGGCGACGTCGTTCGGACCTTTGCCAGGATGGTTGCGGAGAGTAACAACGCCGCTGCCGGCTCTGCCGAGGTCCGGGCCTAAATGCCTTTTGACGAACTTACGACTTTTATGACCAGACCATACACTTACTACGACCATGATCCATGATCCATGATCCATGAGCGCAAGCATGAAACCCCCGACGACACGAAACAGCATGAACAGGAGGAGGCATGCAACAGCACTTCGAGCGATTCTTTCCGGTTCTTGTCCTTATTTTTTTTCCTCGGCGACTGTTTTCGATTTTCCTTCTTGGACAAAGTACACTTGATCCGCTCCCGCGACCATCATCATCATCATCACAACACAGACATCGGCAGCTCACGCACCGGAAGTTTGTTGCTTCTTACGGCACCTGTACCACCACGCAGGAGTCGTCCGCCGCTTTTCATCTCAGTTTGATTGTTTTTTTTTTCCTTGTCTTTTCCTACTGGGTTTTTCGAAATTGAGCAAGCGAGCATTGGCTTTTTGTTTTGATCTTGGTGCTTTTTATCTGGCGGCGCATTTCTTCAACTCTTAATCTCTTGTGATTATTTCCGGTTTCTCTCTCTCCTACTCTTTTGGCGCTGGGCATGGGAAATGGGATAGGGTTCTGGGCAAAGCTTTGGCTGCGGAGGTCGGCGGATTGGGAGGGAGCGACGGCGAAATTTGGCGGTTATCGGATTTTTGCGCTGTTTTGTCTTGGAAGAACGATTTTGGACTGGCGACGGCGACGGACCACACAACCTCGCATCGCCACTTTCTCCTCTCCTCTGTCCTGCGCTGAGAGGCCTGGTCAAAGTCTCGTCTCGCTCGGGAGCGGAGAAATCTCTGCCGACACATAGACAGACGCCGACCACACCTCATCAGCCTGGACATTGGGGCTTGGAAAGGGATTTTACAACATCGTCATGCAGTCTGCGACACCTCGCGGGGAGGAAGAGCCCAGCTTGGTCGACCAGCTGCGACACACCCACAAGTCTGACGACATCCCCTTTCCTTTGTGGAACTTCAACACCATCACACTCCTTTACAACAAAACTCTTCGATTCCGAGGGGGGCTGCCGCCATCAAACGGACCATCAGCCCTCTTTTTGGGAGGATATCTCGCGGGAAAGGATGGACGAGCTGCGACATCGCCAACAGAGGCGCGATCTCACAGACGACCAACCCGCACCGAGAGAGAACACCGACCATTTCAAACCAGACCATCGCCAGTCACACATTTGGCTGAGCAACGGATGGCAATTTTCAACAACCAACAACACCACAACCCCCATACAGGGCTGGGTGGAAGGGGAACTCGAAACCCCAGCAGGAGGGCTTGGAACAGCCTCTTATCCTGCTCACGACAATCATTACAGACGGACTTCTTTTTTTTCATTTCTATTCTTTCCCGTCGAAAGATCTTTGTAGCTAGGCAGCACAGAACCAGGTGTGGTGAAAAAGAAATTTGGAAACTTTTTTTAGTGGGAGAACCTCTTGCCTCGCCCTCGCCTGAACCCGTGAAACCCGAATGGAACTTGTGTGACTGGCGCGTGCATGCTGTACCCGGTATGTCTGTGATGACGACGATGACTGACGATGACTGATGATGTGATTTCGATTGATACCTTGCGCTGCTGGGTGGCCAGGCATCATCATCCCACCCCCCCTTCTCTCCCAGGCTCCCTCCCTCCCTCCTTCCCTCCCTCCCCCACCACGAGAGCGGCGACTGCACGTCGGGAGCAGCCATCAACAATGAGTATGTAAGTCCGTTCGTGCAGGGTAAGCACTTGGACCGACTGGGAAGTGAGACAGGTCGCTCACCCGCAAGGTGACGTATCTATCCCACCGCACCATATCCCTCGCCTTTCAGCCCCCATCCCTCCCTCTCCCCCACTCTCCCCCGCAATACGACCACCGACCGGAGGAATGTAAAATATGTGAGAGAGAGAGAGTGTGTGTGTGTGTGTGTGGGAGAGAGTGTTAGGGCGGTGCATGACTACCCAACCCCGACCGGCTCTGGAATGGAGGGGAGGCTGATGCTGAGTTGGCCCGCCAGATTGGGTGAGCAGCCCTGCCGTCTTGGGGGGGAGGTACGGCAGTTGTGTCATTGGAAGAGGGCGGGGGAGGATAATGCGATTTGGGGAGATGGATGGTCCCGCCGGTTCCGTGGTGCGGATGACCGGGCTGTAGCTAGTTACATGTACGTACACCAGCCGTACACCAGCCTCGTTCTTCTGACCTGGCCGGGTTTGTTACGGTAGATCTTGTCACGACTAAGGCATATGGTATGGATGGGACTTGCACATTTGGTAGGGAGATAAGGGGGCATGTCAGTGTCGGTGGGAAAAGTGCGCATTTGCGCGAGAGTGTTGAGGTCAGCCTTCTCTTGGAGAAATGCAGGCCCTCCGCCATTGAGCACATCATACCTACCCCATCCGGCACATGTCCTGCATGCCAACTCACCGCTCACGGGAGCAGGACCGTCACCACCACCACCACCAATTCCTACCACACCACCCTCTGTCTCGCTTTCACATCTAATGGGCTCGGATATGTGTAGACTGAAACTCGACAAACCCGAGATCTTGGATCCGAATTTCGGCACGACACCCTCAGTCACCTGTGGCTCGCCATTCCACTCCCTACTTTCCATTCCCTGATTGCTGCCGTGACCTCCAGTAACAACGTCTACGACACCAGAACAGGTATCAAATATAACGACACACACACACTCACATAAACCGCAGGCGATCCCAGACACCAGAATCCGGGGCATGGTGACACAACAGGTAACAAACAGAACACGGGACTGAACTCGCCAATTTACCCGGGCGTGGGTGAGGCGGCGCGGATACGGTCGGCAGGGTGCTGCATTCCCGGGATGGAGCGTGCATCATGTAGGGCGATTGGGCATCGAAAAGTGCATGTTGGGTTGGGGTTGTTGGAGAAGGGAGCTAGGGGAGGCTGAAGGGGGTTTAGGGGGGTTCAGGGGGGTCGGAGGGAGGGATTGGGGTTTGTGATGCAGGTTTGGGTGTATTGACTCTCGCCGGGTGCTCGTGATAGCCAGGGGTTTGTCGTTAGCGCCGTGCTGTGTCGAGCTGAATATTCCGTGCTTGGATTCGGATGAGCTGTCTTTTTCTCATCTATAGTGGTTTGGTGACTTTGTGGTTTGGTAGTCGCCAATGAATGACACAATTCCCGGCCAGGGAACCTCGCGAGGGAGACTGCAACTTTAGCCGGCCCTTCAAAGGGGCCTTACGAATAAAAGTCAATAAAAAGACAGAGCCGTATGCAGCTGCACCTGTGGCATGCCATGTAGTGCAACCTGATCGGCGGGGAGATCAAGATATGGTCGCCTTGAATCGCAAGAGAATGAATTGTCCAGTCATTTTGAAAGAATTGAGATATGGGCAGTGCAGTGCGAGGGAATATCACTGGTTTAATCTTTCTATGAAATAATATGGTTGCTCTTAATTAAGTCCACAACAAGTCCCTAGGCTGTGACAAAACTGACCAAAGAGAAACTCGAATTGTGTCTCACATAACCAACAGACACGGCAATTCAGAGTTCCAATTGCTGTTCAGAAGAAACTCTTTCGAGCACTCGCAAGCAGGTTGACCAGTTAGGCTTTTGAATTGGTTCTGTCGTAATCCCTCCTCTCGCTGAATCGACTTAGGGGCAACTAAGGAACCACACCAATCCAATGACTATGGCGTCAGTCACGAGAGCACATCATTGGAGACACCAATCAACAACGATATACATCTCTCGCGTGATTAGCGTATAATTTAGGTATCTGAGGTGTGCCCGGTGTTCACCTAGCTTACCGTCGTTTACCGTCGTCGGGTTCCAGCAAGAAGTGCCCAACGTGCTCCAGTTACCCAACCCACAGCTTCTTGCTGAAATCAAGGGCCCGTAACTTCCCGAAGCAGCCGCAGAGCGGGAAGAATGAATTCCCAAGGCATTCTTACATAGTAGGCCACATTAGGGCAGCTCCTCGCAGGAAGCCAGGGGAGTGACAACGCCCTAGTCCTCCGTTTTCTCACCAGCTCTCAGGGTCCAAAACGGAGCCCCTTTCCAAACCACAAAGATACATCCTCTCAACACAAGTATACTTCTGCAACGACCGGACCCGTAACCTGCAACGTCCTGCAATGCAAATGCAATGCACCATCATCAAAACACACCCCAAAGCGAACCGTTTCCGAGCTCTCCTCCACCATCCCCCCCCATCGTGGGCCAATGACAACTCCTTCACGCCCTCCTCCAGGGGCCACTCCCCTGACATGCCGACATCACCAAGACTTCCCAATAAACCGCGGGTGCTCCGCGGCAGTTAGGAAATAGCCCAGTACAGAGAGAGCCAACGGCCAGCTGGTCCCTTACCTTCGGGACGTACCAACCAAGGAGCGGCGGCGGCGGCCCCAAAATAAAGAGATCTGAGACAATAACAACGACAACACTGACGACAACACCACCCAGCATCAAAACAAACAACGTCAACAAGCGGAGCAAAAAAGGGCATCGCGAAATCCCACATGGCATGGTAAGCAACCCCATACCAACCATCACCAACCTCCCCCCCCGGTCGCCGAACCCCCGAGCCAGGGGGAAGAGAAAGATCCGGGGAGAGCCCATCCCGCATCGGGCAAAGGAACACAACATGCAACGAATCTGGGTCCGCCGCTAAGGCAGGTAGAGGTAGGATAAACACAAACAATAAACACAAAAGTGCAGAAATACGACGCTGAACGCTTAAAAGTGAGATGTGACGGGCCGTCGAGGGCCACAGTGGCGATGGTGCCCGAGGAAAAAGAAAAAAAAGATGAATATCAAAACAAAAACAAAAACATCGACCCCCAGTCAGGCCGGCAGGCCAGGGAAGGATACCCGATGCGACGTTGGCGATGAGATTCGGGGCGTGGGGATGGGAAAACTCGATGCGAGGGGTCTCAGATTCGGGCACAGAGGCATGCGATGTCTGTCTGGCTGGCTGGCCCACGGTACGGGGCAGCCAAGTACCGTCCGGCGCCGGGCCGGTCGGGAGCAAGACGCCACGGGAGTCGTACCACGGCCCTTGGCGCCACTCACGGGATGGGATAGGCGACATCAAGGCCCCGGGAGTTTGGGTGTCTGGACGGCAGAGGCATGGCGGCGGCGAAAAAAAGACGATCCAGTAACCACTCCCCGCTCGCCGGCTTTGTTTGTCTCGAGAGCGCTCCTCGTAATCATAAACACAACAGCGCGGTAAACAATGTCCCTTATCCAATAGCCTCAACTCCAAAACAAACCATCATGATTTCGCCATCAAGTAACCAGACAAAACATCCCCGCCATCCCTGGGTATCCAAGAAAGTCGTCAGTGGCGACGTCGTCATCATCCAACCGGCCACACCGAAACCCCCACCGCAATCAACCGGGCCATGGCATGTGATTGACCAGAGAACAATGGTAAGCAGATCCTCCTACTTCTTGCTGTACCCCGGATCGTATTTGTCTTTCCATATCCTATCACCGATGGCGGAGAAACCGTCATGATCAGCTTCCAGTCCGAAGACAACCACAAAAAATGAAGGGGGCGGGATGAGACACAACAAAAGACCCTTGGGGGCGAAACACCAACGGTCACACCCCGATTGCCGTAAACGGCGACCATCTCCCGCCAGAGAACCCAATCGGGACGGCCAAGGGAGAGCTCGGATCAAAACCTGAGCCCGGACTGGGTGGACGAAGAGAGAGGCCAGCCCAAAGCGGCCAAAACCCGGCCGCAGCGGCGGGCCGCACCCCACCTTCTGTTCGCCCGTCTGAATGGACGGCAAAGGGGAGGGGTCGAAAGAGCAAGTCCCAACCAGAGCAGAAAGGGAAAAACAGGGCGAGCGAGAAAACGTGGCCGCTCGGCCTATCGCCTCTCTCGCGGTCTTGCGTCTCATGCGAGGCAAGACAGTGGGGGATGTGGACAAGCCGGTCGCAGACGGTAAGTCATCTCACAGGCAGAGAGAGACATGATGCGCGGCTGCCGCTGTTGTCCGACACTGGCCCACACAGGGTTTGTGTTCCCTGAAAGGAAGGAAAAGAAAACAGAGCACGGCAGTGGCTTACCAAGAATTCCCCAGAATTTTGTTCCCATTCTTCTCAGCCAGACGATAGTACTTGGCCGCTGCGAACTGTTTGTTGTTCCGTGTCAGCCAACCAGCCGAGCTGTGACGACCCAAAAAGTCGGGTCTCAGAGCTGTGATTCGTTGCGAGGAAAGAGCCCGGTTGGTGCCCAACGTTCCGGATATAGCAGCGCCGAACGGCTGGTCCGGGAACGAGCACTCAACGACAACGGGTGGTGTTCCGCTGGTGGAGACCGGGGAGGCTCTCGCCGGGTCTTTTTCGAGCGTGATGGTTGAGTGGGTGATGAGGGCAGACTGACCTTGTCTTTCTTGGTACCAAACCCTTCGAAATAACACCATGCTACCTCGTTCATAGCATCTATAGTGCATGGTGGTCAGATTCGAGCGCGAGGGGCGAGAATGGCCGGGTGACATACCAGTGTCTCCCAAGTTCGCCGCCGTCTCGTAGTACTGCCAGTCTTGGTCAGTGATGAACTCCGCAACCCCCTTGACGGTGCATATCCATCCCTCCTTCACCAGCAAAAGAAAACCCACCTGCTTCGCAGCAATTGGATCCTTGGGAATCCCCCACCCGTGGCGGAAACAATTGGCCAATTCGAAGATGGCCAAAACGAGTTCCCCCTTGGCGGCGCCGCCCTTCTTCAATCCCGCCTGGAGAGCGAGTTGTTCGACGTCGGCGGCATTGGACGCCGCCGCGGAGAGGAAGGTCACAGCTTTGGCCGAGTCCTGACTGCAGCCCCATCCGTGCCTGGACCCCGTTCGTTAGTTTGTGACGAGTATCGTTATTGGACAATGGTATGGTCGTGTGGCCAACGAGATGCCCGTAAGGTGCCTTCCTCTTCGTGTAAAAAGACCCCTCGAGCCATTCGCGAAGGGGGTGCATGGCGCCCATGTGCCAGAACGAACTCAAAGAATGAGGGGACATACCTCAGCGCAAGACCGTACAGGACCTGGCTCAGGGGGTTGTTAGCCCCCTTAGGATCCGCCAACCGCCCAAACAGCGCCGTGGACTGCTCGAGCTCCCCAGCCTCATGCAGCCTGATGGCCTCTTGAATATCCTCGTCGAGCTCCTTGGACGAAACTGCCTTGCTCTGCGAGCCGGAGGAGTCGCCGCTCGGCCCATCACCCAAGCGCAGTTGTGGAATGACGGGTGGAGCAGAGCCATGTACGGGCGTTCCGGGGCGGCTGCGGTGCTTCTCGTTCTCGCGGGCCAGAATAGTGGCGCGCTTCTCCCATTGCGACTCGGTGCCGTCCTTGTCGTCAACACCGCCCTCGGGCATGACAATCTCGGGTAGGTCCTGCGGCACGTTCTCGGAGCTGGACGGGCTGCGACTCAGGTGCAGTCGTTGTGACAAGCGTCGAGAGCCTTGGCTGCTCGCCGTGGAGCCGCTCCGACTGCGGCTGCCGCGGAAGACATCGAGGCTACGGCGCTGCTTGGAGGGATCGGACTTGGGTTCGGCGGATAGGAACTGGCCCGGTTCTCGTTGGGGCCCGGCACTCGGGGGGTAGATGATTTCGGCGTTGTGAGTGTCGGTGCGGATGAAGGTAAATTCGGGGCTCGCGGGATTGGTAGCGTCCGTGGGGTTGGCGCTGGCCTCGTCCTCCTCGTGCTTCTTCCTGAACTTGTCTCGGAGTCCCATAGTGTCGGTGCCTAGTTGGCCGTGTTAAAGCGTCGACAAAATACCAATAATATCGATGCAAGTTTATATTCAAAAAAGAAACGAGAGAATGGCTATATATGTGGTTTCAGCGTGTTTGTTTCGAGCGACGCCATTTCGGGGCTCAGATGGTCAGCTCGCCGGCGACGCGCCCCGAGATTGCAGGTGTCCCTCAACTGGGTTCGGTCCGGAGCGGGGCAGTGCCTTGTTGGCGGGGTTGGGCGTTCCTCCATTGTCCGTAAATCCTGCTAGGGTATCCGTCAAACGTGGAAATTACCTATCGAGAGATTTTTGATGATGATTGCCATCGTCTTTTGGTCGGGGAAAAAAAGGACGCCTTGCGAAGGAATCATTGAGATTTGAAACTGGGAAACTGGCAATTATTTTATTTTACGACCGGCAGGAGCATTGGGCTTGGTGGTTTCTGGCTCGCCACTTCAAAGCTGCAATATTCTCCGGGAATGCCATGAAAGCCCGGTTAGCTCAGCTGGTTAGAGCGTCGTACTAATACCGGGAAACCCGTATAAGGTATGCGAAGGTCAACAGTTCAATCCTGTTACTGGGCATTCACTTTTGGCCATTTCCATGATCTTTTTGTCCTTTGATCTTGTGGCTGCCGCCATCTTTATTCTTTCGTTTTCATCAAGACCCCTCAGGTCATTCTATGCACATTTTGCTTGACTTATAATTGACAATATATACACTATCTAGGTACCTCGTCACTCGGGAGTTCCGATAGGTAATACTCCACGATCCAAGTTCGATGAAGCGTAAGCTCACCCCCAGGATAATGGTTTTCGTCACATGAAGTTATACTCAAGCCCCGGTTCAAGCGGAAGGTCTCACCAGGCATCACATCCGAAATCCAGTTATAACCCGACTACCAGAAACCAAATCACCGAGTGCGATGGCCAGTGTAATGCCGACCGAGCCACGGCTGACACCGAAGGTCTAGAGACAAAAAGGCAAAGTTGAACGCAAAATCGAGGTGCTAACATATCTTTAAACCACCGAGGTCTATATGTCCGTGCCGCAAGTTCCCCGTCGCCGCATCGGCCAGCCACATGAGGGAGAGTTCCATAACCTCACCAACCTAGCTGTTTACGACCCGGGAGGACCATAGCGGCCATATCTAGTACCGCGCCTGTTGCAACCTACTCCTAAGCATCCAGGTTCTGGGATATCCTACCCCGATGATCCAGGGATGGTGGGATGCCCAAAAGGAGCTACTGGAAGGGACCGCCGTCGAACCGCCCGAAACGGGCGCCTCTCCAGTTACCGGCACCGACCGGGCCCGAGCAACGCCCGGCCACCCTCCGCGCCCAACGGCCGTCGGCGAACGTGGCACGACCGGCGCCACGGGCGGCTGCACCGGGGCCCGCTCAACTACAAGCTGCGCCTACCCCTCCCCCACCATGTCCAGCGCCACCCCCTAGGTCCAACCCACCACATTCTAGTGTTGTTTACGTTGGGCCGCCGCCGGGTCCGATGCCCGGCCAGCATTTCATGCGCTCCGGGCCCATACTGCCTCTGGTACACCCCGACCAGACCTCGGATGAACCGCCAATGAGTTTCGTCTCAGTGTTTCCTAGTCGTCCCCCGATTCCTGGCTCACAACCACCGCCTCCACTCCCGGATGCAACATACGCGGGAGGAAAGATTCACCCCGACACAACACCTCTTCCCGGCCAACCTACTCCACACGGGCCACCGGGATTCCATCCCTCTCCGTACCAAGACCAACCGGTGATGCCACATGGCCCGCAGCCACCCCCGAATCCGGACCAGCCCCCGGCACCTCGCGGAGCACACCCTCCACACGAACAGTCAGGCCAGTCACCACACCACCACTGCAACAACAACCAAAACAACAACAAGAAGGACCGCCGCGACCTCGGAGTGCTCGCCCCGGCAATCCACCCAGGTCAACCACAACCACCCCAAGGTAACCCCGGCCCTCCCACAAGACACATAGCACCGAAGGACAAGTGACAACCTCCGCCCGCGCCACATGGCTCACACTCGGCCCAAACCAAACCCTCCGCATCGGCGACGCCGGGCCAACCACCGCCCGCAACGCGGACGAGAAAAAAGAAAGGAAAGCCCGCCCGCCCGCCGGTCAACGCGCTCGAAGAGGAAAGCGCGCCTGCCGCGGCGCGGGGACGACAGACGACAGCCGTAGCACCACCGTCACCTCACCAGGAGCCGCCGGAGGGTGGGCGTACAACAGACGACGCATCGGCGCCCAAAGACGACGGCGGAGGCTCCTTCGCGCCGCCTAACGACATACCTGACGGGTGTTGATGTTCATATCGATGTTGTTGTTGTTGTTGTTGTTGTTGATTCTGATGCGTCCAGCAGCGCTGCAGGAGATGGCAGATGGAGGTGCGCTGGCGGCGACGGCGGCGGCGGCATCGACGGCGAGGGTGAGGGTGATCCGCTCTTTGGGTCGGGGGCGTCGATGCTGGCTGTGGTGCCGTGACTTGTGACTGCTGCCCAAGGGGACTGACAGACAGACTTTGTCCACCGTGCCTTAGTAGGGCGGAGGGAAGGATAGGCGATTGCTAACGTTTAGAAAGCTGTGACTGAGTAGTGTCGTTTGTTTCGGGATAAGTGACGTTCGGAAGAGATACCATGGGATCACCAAACATAAAATTTGGGCGGTTGTTTACTTCGGCCTTGCTACGCTAATAATATAACATGTTAGTAGACATTTATCTACGCTTGCTAGATTTAAAATATAATTATAGTTAAGAAGAATTTCCAAAATGCATCTAGAAACCAGCTAATAATGTGTTCGAGACACATTAAGGTCAAACGCGGCAAGTATTCAGGGGCTCATTAACAACCCAACTAGATTGTAATAACACTTCTTATTTCCTGCGAGATCGCAGTAACAGAACAGCTCAGGTTCAATTCACAATTTCTAGCCCCCCGTCCCCTAAACACCAACAGAAAAGTTATCAACAACGAACATCCAAACCCACTCCACATCCTACACAACCGCCCCTCCCCCAACTACGAAACATCCACAAACCCCCTCTTCCTCCCCCCACCCTCCTCCTTGCCCGCCTCCCAATTCTCATCCACATACTCCTTAACACTCTGCTCGCGCATCTGCATGCCCACCACGCGCAGCGCAGCGATATTATAGCCCATCTCGTCCTTCTGGCGGCGCAGGGCGCGACGCAGGTGGGCGCGGATGGCCTCGAGCATGGCGCGCATGGTGCGGCTGGCCACGATCTGGCGGTGGTGGGTCTTGAGCATGAAGAAGAGGATGCGGCAGGTCAGGGGCACATTCATCTCGCGCGCCGCGAAGAGGTCGAGGAAGGTGAAGAGCGCGGGCACCGCCGCGAAGGGGAGCACCAGTAGCGCATCGTGCAGTGCCGAGGCCTTGATCCGTTGGAGGGTGTTGAGCACGTAGGTCTCGGCCGTGATGTTGCCCAGCGCGATGAAGATGGCGTTGCGTTGTGGAGGGGCGATGCCAGGATTAGTTTGCCGTGCGTCGCGCCACTCGCGCAGGGTGTTGAGGTCGGCCATGCCCAGCTCCAGCGCCTCGGCAATGCGCTCGCCGGCCATGAGCGTCTCGACGGTTTGTTTGGAGGCGGCGGCCACTTCGCGGTCTTGGTCCTGCTCGTCGGGGTCTTGTTCTAGAGAGGTGGTGAGGGTGGATTCGTAGAGCTCTTCGAGCTCTTTCTCTCGTTCTTCTTCGAGGAAGATCTGCTCGTCGGTTTCTTCCCACACGCGGATGCTCTTGTCGTGACTAGCGGAGATGAGGGTGTTTCCGGAGTGGCTGACGGCGAGGGCCCAGATCTCGCCGTGGTGGCCGTCAATGCGTTGGATCTGCTCGAACTTGTCGGCGTCCCAGTACTTGATAGTGCGGTCCTTGCTGGCGCTGAAGAAGTGTCGGCCGTTGCCGTCCGAGTTGTGCGGGATGAAGGCGACCTGCAGGATACTGTCTTGGTGGCCGAAAAGGGCTTTGTGGCAGTCACCAAAGTCGAGACCCCAGATCCGGATGTTCTTGTCAGCGGAGCTGGTCACGATGAGCTTGCTATCGTACGATATGTCCATGCTGAGCACGGGAAGCTTGTGGCCGTAAAGGTTAAGGTAGAGCTTAAGGGTGTCGACGAAAAAGACTTTGACGGTGCTGTCAAGAAGGGCGACGGCTATGAGCTTTGCGTCGGGCGAGAACCGCAAGCTGAGAATGTCGTCGGCCACCTTGAGTATCCTTGATTGAACGAGCTTTAACTTCGGCGTTGTCCTGGTCGTGCCCAGTACTTGTTCCTGGACGATCTTGAAGTCCCAGAACTTGGCCGTCTTGTCGGCACCGCCAGACACCACCGACTTGCCGTCTGGGTGGACCTGTAGTGACCAGATGGCATGACCCTCGTGCGCGTCAACGGTCTCCAACAAGGCTGCCGAGGCAACATCGTATAGTTGGAGCTCTCCCTCCTTAGTCCCCACAACCACCACCTTGTCTCCCGGGAGGAAGGCGCAGCAAAGCGCGTAACCGCACT